GGAAGCAGAACCTTAATCTTAGTATTCCACCTGCCAGAACTATGAATAAACAAATAACCAAGCTAGGTGCTAGTGGCTCACATCTATAATCCTATTTACTCAGGAGATTGAGTTATGGAGGACCTTGGTACAAAGGTAACCTGGGCAGAAAAGTCCATGAAATTCCATCTCCAAAATTCTCAGTAAAAAGCCAGGGTGGAAGTGTGTGTCAAGTGGTGAAAGCTAAGCCAAAGACACAGGGGAGCATATGGCCCTGAATTCAAACCCTAGTACTGCCAAAAATATTAAAATGGAAAGGTATGTCTCCCATTGAAGCCTCTTAGACTATGGTATTTTTATGATAGCCCAAACAAGCCGATACATTGTCCTAAACAGAAATTTATTCTTGGTTATATATGTTCCCAGAACAATTCTCGTTTTTTTTTTTAACTTTCTTCTTGTTCTTCCCTTTTCTTCTCTTCTCTTTCTTTTTTCTAAGTTAGGAGAGAGGCTGGTCCAGGCCCTAGAGCTCAGGGCCCTATGTGCTTTTTCTGAGCTTTTACTCAAGGCTAGCATTTTACCACTTAAGCCACAACTCTACTTCCTGCATTTAGGTGGCTAATTGGAGATAAAAGTGTCATAGGCTTTCCTCCCTGTACTGGCTTTGAACAGCAATCCTTAAGTCTCACTCTTGTAAGTAGCTAGAATTACAGACATGAGTCACAAGGACCCAGCCCCAGCCAGATTTTGAAGATCATTATCAAGATGCACTCTATTCATAAACTGACATATTGAATTAGAACCCCTTCATACAAATTAAAGATAATAAAATTATAATACTAACAATAGTATATATAAAAAAGCATGTTTTGCCAGGTGCCATTGCTCAAACTTATACTCTAAGGCTGAGATCTGAGGATGAGGGTTCAGAGCCAGACTGTCAGGAAAGGTATGATGCTCTTATCTCCAATTCATCACTTGAACCTGGAAGTGGAACTGTGGCTTAATTTATAAAGCACTAGCCTTAAGAAAGATAGCTTAGGGATAGCCCCCAGGCCCTAAATTCAAGACCCAGGACCAGCACATGCAAACAAAAAACATGCTACATGGCCTAAAAGTCCATTTGTAGATGAGGAATCTCTGCAGTATACTTGTTTTTTTTTAGTTTTATTTTATTGTAAAGGAGTCATTACAGTACATAAGTAAGGTTATGAGTATATTTTTTGAAGTGTTAACCCCTCCCTGGTTTTCTCCCATTTTCCCTCCCCCTTGACTCCCCTTCCCCCAAGTTGTATAGTTCATTTCCCCAAAATAGTGTCTAGTGAGTATCACTGTCACATTGTCCCACCATTTCTGTGATTCCCCTTCCCTTCCCCAAATCAGATAAACATATACAAGACAAAAGGTACCAAAATCAGAAACAGTGACTACAGGTAGTAACCCAGAGGAGAAAAAATAAGTGAGACAAAAGCAATAACTGTAAACAGTACACTAAAAAAGAAGAAAAGAAAAACAACAACCAAAAAAAACTCTTGTTTCTATGTCAGAGTTCGTTTCAATTTAGTATTTTATATGGTCTTGTATACATAGCTATTGGGACATCATGATCCTCTGCTAGGACTATCCTAAGCATATACAAATTATTACAATTGAGGGAAACCATGGATCCTATTTTTCTTTGGGTGTGGCTTACTTCACTTAATATGATTTTTTCCAAATCTTTCCTTTTCCTCACAAATGGGGCAATGCCACTCTTTTTGATGGAAGCATAGAATTTCATTGTGTATATATATACCACATTTTTTTCATTCATTCACTTACTGAGGGGCATCTTGGTTGATTCTATAGCTTAGCTATGGTAAATAATGCTGCAGTGATTATAGTTGTGCTGGGAGCTTGTTTGTGTTTATTTGGGTAAATGCCCAGGAGTAGGGAAGTTCTATATTTAGTCTTTTGAAGTATCTCCAGACTGGTTTCCGGAGTGGTTGAACCAATTTACAATCTCACCAACAGTGTAGTAGACTTCCATTTTGTCCACATCCCCACCAGCATCTACTATTATTTGTTTTCTTGATAATGGCCATTCTAACTGGGGTGAGGTGGAATCTCAGTATGGTTTTGACTTGCCCTTCTTTTATGACCAGAGATGCTGACCATTTTCTTCATGTGTCTGTTAGCTATTTTTATTTCCTCTCCAGAGAAGCCTCTTTTTAATTCTTTAGCCCACTTATTAATGGGGTGGGTGGTTGAGGATTTTTATTGGGGGGGTTAATTTTTTGAGTTCTAAGTATACTTTAGGTATGAAGCCCTTGTCTGTTGTATATCTAGTGAAGATCTCCCAATCTGTGGGCTTTCTATTGATCTTCTGCAGTATAATTTTGTGGATAACTAAGCAGGCGATACTAGATATGTTAAAGATAAAGTCAATACTACCAATAATTATTTATATGTACTCCTATTTCCACAGTTGGAATGGAAAAATTATTTCAAGCTATTGAGGGTGACAAGCCTTCAAGGGCCATAGGAAATAAGGAGAATCTTCTGGGTGGAAGGCTTGTTCATCAAGGGAAAGCAACCTGTATTGCCCTGGAGAGGATGTAATTTGCTTGCTTGAATAATTCAGAATGTTGGAAGAGATTGAAACCTGATACTTGGGAATATGGCAGATCTTAGCCTGGTCCATTTGATACAGATGGTTCTGAGAGAAGTAGATCTGGAAATACAGTCTAGCGGGAAACTTACAGGCAGAACATTTGAGTTTCTCCAAATATCATGACACTTCATAATTTTGTATCTTAAGTTTTGTCATACCAGTACATTGCAGTTTTCCACTTAAGTTTCTTCTCTTCAATAATGACCTCTATCATCAGATAGAGGCCCTTTCCTTGTTCCACAGCCTTTATAGCCAACCATGATGTTTATTTATATAATTATATCACATTGCTGGAATTGCAGTTTTCAGAATTTCAAACTAACTTGATTTTGGTGCTTTAGGCATTTTACCCTCTGCAACCTGTTATGTCATAGCACATGTATTAACCTATTCTTCATATGGTTGTACCAGGCAGCCAGTTTCTAATCATTTGTGTGTGTGTCTGTGTGTGTGTGTGTGTGTGTGTGTGTGTGTGTGTGTGTGTGTGTGTGTGTGTGTGTGTGTGTGTTTCTGTGCGTGTATTGGTTCTGGGTGTTGAACTAAGGCCTTGGTGCTGTCCCTGAACGTTTTGTTTGTTGGTTTGGCTAAAGGCTGTAGCACTTGAGCCACATTCTACTTTTTGGTGTGTATTTGGAAAGTCCATAAGAGTCTTATGAGCTTTTTGCTCAGGTTAGCTTTTTAACTGGAATCCTCAGATATCAGTCTCCCAAGTAGCTAAGATTATAAGCCTGAATCCCTAGTGCCCATCTTGAGTTTCAACGTATTTATAAGATATTTCTTCATTGCTTTGTATGTCCCTCCCCCACGGTATAACCCCTTTTCACTGTATTTGATGTTGGTATAATTTGTGGAGGGGACGGGAAAAAACAAATTGTTTAAATAGGGATACAGGTGGACCCATTCCAACCATGAAATGTACAAGATGTTATGTCGAAAAATGAACATTACAACTTTGGCACGGGGGTGGGGGGAAAGATGGGAAGGGATGGGAAGGGGAAACAAAGGAAGAGGCAACAATGCTTGATAAGAAATGCACTCATTACCTTGTCCATGTAGTTGTAACCCCTCTGTATGGTATTTTCACAATAAAAATTTTTTTTAAAAAATCTGTGGGACTTTTCATCAGAAGTTTTAAATCATAGATAGGTATTCCCCTATCTAAATACTCTTTCACATTTGTTTGTGGAGGGGACATGGTTAATTAAACAAGACTCTAAACATTCACAAAATAAGACCAAAGGAGGATTTTCTTAGGAGAAGATCACAAAGGCTTAATAGTTATGTTCATATGATCATATAAAACGATAATTATCAAAATGAGCTCCAAGAAATGGAAAAAAGAGGTTTTGGGGGGGCGATTTTGGTCAGTCATGGGGCTTGAACTCTGGGCCTGGGCACTGTCCCTGAGCACTTTAGCTCAAGGCGAGCCCTCTACCACTTAAGCGACAGTACTACTTCTGAGTTTCTGGTGGCTAATTGGAGATAAAAGTCTCTTGGACTTTCCTGCCTGGGCAGGCTTTGAATCGTGATCCTCAGATCTCAGCCTTCTGAGTAGCTAGGATTACAAGCATAAGCCACCTGCTCCCTGTTCACAGTTCTTTTTCCCTTCTATTTTTGTCCTTTTGTCACTGCTTTTGATTTTTGTACCCCTTGTCTTGTATGTAAATTCATTTGATTTGGGGAGGGGAAGGAGAAGCACAGAAATGGTAGGACAAAATGAATTAATTTGGTAGTGATACTCACTAAACACCATGTTGGAAATGGGACTATGTTGGAAATGGAACTGTACAACTTGGTGGGAGGGTATGAAGGAGGGGAAAATCTGGGGAAAAAAACAAGGGAGGAGGTGACACTGTTCAAAAAGAAATGCACCTAACTTACGTGACTGTAACCCCTCTGTACAGCAACTTCACAATATTTTTTTTAAAAAAATCTATGGGAAGAATTTGGAAATATATCTATCATCTCCAGAATTTGATCCTTACAAAGATGAGGTTCTTATATGATGTCTGGGAGAATGGGGCTCAGTTAGCAAGTCTTCAAATTGTAAAGATATAATAATTAGTGATATAATCTTTAAATTACAAAGATTTACTTTTATCCTTTTTCATAATCAAAGCTATACAAAGTACACATATTTTCACAATACTTTAGAATTAACAGAAAGAAATGATCAAAACTAAGACTTAAGAGTTTTTAAGTTTATTTGTATTATTGCATGATCCTAACTATTATTGTGAGATGTTAAGCATTTTCAAGAATACCTTTTTAATGATGCTACATGTTATCATCTAGAGAAAACACTTAAGACAATAGGAGTGGCAGAGAGGCTGCTGGACATGGTCAAGTAACAAAGTTGTCCATAGCATCACTCTTCGTCCTGGCTTTTCTTATTTGCTTTGGCTCTCTCTTCTATGTCTTTTAAAGCTTCTTCATAATGAGTTGAAAATTTTCTAGGATCATTTTTACTAACCTTGGCTAAAAATTCTAGCACTTCCATCTTGTTAGTTTCCCTATAAGCCTTTGGTCCCCACAAAAATTCATAGCACGGAGGATCACTGTTAGGTATTTGTCGGTACTCCAGGTACTGTAAGGTCACCAAATCTTCGCTAACAAGCTTGTGGGGCTCCCCAAACACATAGTGTCTCTTTCCTGGGCGTACATGCATTTGTTTTAAAAATTTCCAAAGATCTTCCTCAGTCACATGGTTACCCATCATGAAAATTACACCTAGTATTGTCATCACAAAGCCAGTCTTGGGTAAACCGTTACCTGCATGGATCCTTCCATTATTGGGGAGTTTTAGCTTGCTCACTAGTTCATACTGGATATTGTCTGTATCTACTCCTTGCACAGTAACCCCAAAGAAAATCTCGATATTTTCAGAAGTTCTCTGTAGGATCTCAGCAAATTCTTCTTCATCCATAGCATCAACAAATCTTATCAGGTCTTCCTTGAAAATAGGCAGTTGCCTTTCAAACCTGTAGAGAATATAATGTTCCATTAAATCTACCTTGTCATCTAAAAAATCATTAAAGTTTGCAGTGCAGGCTGTGGCTGTTGAGGTACTTGGACCCTCATTGTCTTGTTGGCTCTTTTTACGCCTATTAGATCGGCTGCTAAGGAACTCTACAACACTTCTGCTGGGGCTTGGAATAGTATAAGGCTCTTGGGGGATGTTACTTGGCTCAGGAACAGATGAATTCTGGAGATCTTCCTCTGGAGCCACAGAGCAAGGGTAAGGAGGTTCTTCTTCTGTTGCTTCACTTGCCTGTGCTACACTGTGGTCAGAGGAGGTTTGCAGGGTCTCTTGATGTTCTTCCTCAATGCGAAGGTTATTCTCCTCTAGAGACATGACAGCTGTAGTGAGGGACAGATGGTTAACGGAGCCACTCAGAAAGATAGATGTTGATACAGCGAGTGAACCTTCAGCGTGAAGTGTTGGTCATGGCTATCTTCGCAGTATTACAGGAGGGATCTCCAGAAGGTTCTGTGGAGTTTCTGATGTCTTGACTACCACATCCTTTCTGAGAGCTAGGGAAGAAGTTACAGTAAGCCTGAGCCTGCTATCTCTGAGCAGCCTGCAAACCCCGCCTTGTGCATGCCCTGGTGACAGTCATGGCCTCTGTTGCACTGAAGTTGACATCACAGACCTCCCTGGGGCCCATGAGAAGGGGAAAAAGGAGGATCTTTCTTGTCACCCCTAGATGTATTTGGTGCTGAGTGTTAGCAGCAGATGTTCCATCTAGGCATTTTGAGAGGATCATCAGACCTTACACAGACAATACAGTGGCACATAGGTCTTTGATCTTCATCCCTATCATTTGAACATGGTTATACATTCAGACTATCTCATTCCAAGCCTCAGCTTGAGAAACCTTCCCATATTCTTCAAAGACTGAAACCAAAGAAGGGCCTGAGTATTTGCCATCCCTTCAGTTTGTGGTAAACATTCCCCTTTATGCTTGCTTCTATGTCTAGTATGAATTAAATCCTCTGTCTGTTTTTTGTCCTGATATTTTTGCTCTCATAGTCATTACCAAATTATCCTTTAACACTACTAGGGGTCAAAGATGGTCCTCTGCTCTGACTCTGCCTATCCTCCGTCTTACATGGCTGAGAGGATCAAATAGCCTGATATGCCCACATTATTTGATGTGTATTTCCATTAGTTTTCTGAGTACTTACAGGTCTGAATTATCCCAGAAATCACCCTGCTTACCTGACCCAGACACTGCTTTACAAGTCTCTCACTCCTTGATAACATCATAAAAGGAATTATGTCACATGTTGTTACTAGTAACCAGGTATCCAAGGTCTGTCATCAAGGGCAACTTCTTAGCTCTAAGGTTTTAATGCTACAAACTCTTCACTCAGGATTCCCCTTGAGTCCAACCTAGACTAGGACTCTCTTGTTACTACTTCCTCCAGAGCTAGGGGCACAATTGTGTGGCACCCTATCCAGGTTTTTTTATTTTTTATTTTTGGTTGTGGGGCTTGAACCCTAGGCCTGGGCACTGTCCCTTAGCTCTTCAGCTGAAGGCGAGTGCTCTACCATTTGAGCCACAGTGCCACTTCCAGCTTTTGCTGTTTATGTGGTGCTGAGGAATCAAACCCAGGGCCTCATGCATGCAAGGCAAGCACTCTACCACTGAGCCACCTTCCCAGCCCACTCAGGTAATTTTTTTTGACATGTGGTATTACTAATGTTTGTATGGGACTGGCCTCTAAACAGAATGTTCTTCATTTCTTCCTCCTGAGTAGCTGAGGATTTGGGATTATAGATAAGCCAGCATACAAGGCCCTTTCTTTATGTTATCATTAATATTGCTTTTTTTAATTGTTTATTTTTCCCTGTGGTTGATTTTAGTTGTGACATACAGAGTTCTTAGTTTAAGTGTCACCTTTATGGTCATGTAAAAAATAGGAAGTTTCTAAAATGTGTCAATTATGGATACTTAAATCTATATGCAACTCTGTTTGAGATGAGGTATTATGGTCATTTCCAGAAGGAACTTTTGCAATTGGATTTTTTCCCCATAGGTATATTTTGGATCTTTTTCCTTCATTAAAGTTATATTTTCATTAGTTACTGATTTTGTTTGTACAGGTTCCTTTCCTTATTTTCATTTACTGGTCTTACAGAATAAGTATATAGTTTTATGCACCAATTACACCCTTGTAAGCATTTTTCATATGTTTGGGTTTCATTATGATATTTTCATACTTGCATGTAACATGATTATATTCACCCCTTTTATTTTCTTGTCTTGCTTTCTCCTATACCACCTTCCACATCCATAACAGTGTTTCTTTTAGACTCAGATTCCTTTTTCCTTTCTAAATTCCACATGAGAGTAAGCTTGTGGTATTTGTCCAAGTCTCCATTGTTTCACTTAATTTATGATCTCTCCTCACATCTACTTTTTTGTAAATGATACAATTTCATATTTCTTTATGGCTGACTAAACTCTATTAAGTATACTTGTCTTCACTAATTCATCTACTGGTAATAACCTGGACTGATTCCCTAAATTGGCTAATGTGAATGATCCATGGTAAATAAGGGAATGTCAATGTCTCTATTAAACGATCCTTTTTCTTTCTTATGTAAATTTTCATTGTTTATATTAGTTATACAAATATGGTCATGTTTATATTTCTAAATGTGAATGCTTATTATAGTTCTAATTCAGCCTTTTTGTTTGTCTTTCACTTTTCCTTCTCTTCCTTTAAAAAATTATAAATTTAAAATGAGATATTCTGTAAATCATCTTCATTTCTACAGCAAAAATTTAGGGGAGCTAATTCTAATAGTTTATAAAAATCAAACAAAATGAGTAATTCTCATTTTAGACCTGTGGGTCATTGAGAAACACAGAGCATTAAAATGTTATATAACCTAACAATCTAATTGAACTCCTCAAAATGGGATGTGAGTTATATCACAGTGGTATCAGAAAATAGGATAAAGTTTTCCAAAAATTAAAAAAATGTTTTATACTGTTTGCTGGTGGCTTATATCGGCATTCCTATCTATTCAAATAGCTGATATAGAGAGATCATGGTTCAAACCCAGCCCAGGCAACAAGTATCCATTTAAGGATCCAAAAGCTGGAAGTGAAAATGTGGCTCAAGTGGTAATATGCTAGTTTCAAGCACAAAAACTAAGGGAAAGGGTCCAGGCCTTGAGTTCTAACCCCTGGACCAGCACAGAAAAAATGAACAGGTTTCATTATTCTATTTTAATAGATGTATACTAAGTATTTTGCCATATTTAGCCCCCTACACATGCCCTTTCCATTCTCAAACATTATTCTCCCTGCTTCCCATCTGATCTTTTCCTCTATCAGTCCCATCAAGATTTATAGTTTCATTTTCATCGTATACATTGAATCTTTTGACTGTATTTGCCATCTATTCCCCTTTCCATTCATCTAACATAATCCCCAAGAGCATTAGTTTCCACCCTCCACACCCTGCTCCCAGTCAAGACCTATCGTAGCTTCCTGATACTTACTTTGTTAAACTATCAATTTTTCATAAGGGGATACACCACGAGATCTCATGCCTGTATATACTACAACTTTCATCAGGTTTTTGTGTGTGTTTGAGGGTCCTGGGGCTTGAACTGAATGTTGTCCCTGAGCTTTTGTGTTCACGACTATTGCTTTATTACTTTGAGCCATAGTTCCATTTCCAGCTTTTGGGTGGTTAATTGGTGATGTGGCTCAAGGACTTTCCTGCCCAGGCTGGCTTTTGAACAGCAATCCTCAGATCTCAAACTCCTTAGTAGCTGGGATTACAGGCCACTGGTACCCAGCTGTGTTAATTTGTTTTGCAAAAATATATAAAGTGCATAGAAATGAGTTGAGACATTTTATATGTACATAATCAGAATGAAAACGATCTAATAATAAGAGTTAGAGGATGAACAGACCCAGATGAACAGTTCTGGCTTTTCCTCTAACACACTAATGATCCTGGTCAGTAAGTCTTACCTTTCTAAGCTCCTATGCTTTAACATAAAGCAAGATGCTATTATACATTTATAAAGGCTATACAAGGATCAAAGAATTCATTTTTCTTTCTTTAAAAAAAAGAAAAGTTGTAAAGTTCGTTTTTCGACATAATGACTTGTACATCTCATTGTTGCAATGAGTCCACCTGTATCCCTAGTTAAATGGTTTGTTTTTTCCCCTCCCTGCCACAAATTATACCAACATCAAATACAGTGAAAGCAGGGGTTATACGTGGGGGAGGGACATTCAAAGCAACAAAGAAATCATCTTATAAATATGTTAGAACAATTGCATGAAAGGAAAAAAAACAAAAAAATATTTGAATACTTATCTTGAACTTTGGTAGGGGGTGGGAGGAGGATCGGGTGGGGAGGGAGTATGGGAAGGGATGGGAAGGGGAAACAAAGAGGAGGTAACAATGCTCGATAAGAAATGTACTCGTTGTCTTGCTCATGTAATTGTAACTCCTTTGTACAGTATTCTCACAATAAAAAAGAAAGAAAAAAGAAGGATCAAAATTAGAATAAATGATTTTAGTCAGTTTTATTGATTACATATGCACATGACCCTGTATGTGTTTACATAAATGTTTTTGTTTTCAGATTAAGATCCATATATGAGATAAAAATGCACTTTGTCTTTCTTAACCTGGTTTACTCCACTTTATATGGTTTGTCCCCAAATCTATTAATTTCTCTGCAGATGACATGATTTCATTCTTCCCAATGGATGAATAAAATTCTATTGTGTATATATACCATATTCTCTTGATCCATTCCTCCATATGGAACATCTGGACATTTTTTATAACTTATAGTGAATATTGAGTATTTAGGTTCCATTATTAAATTGTTATCTTTCAGATAAATGCCTATGAGTGGAATCACTGCATCATAGAGCAGTTCTATTTTTAATGTTTTGAGAACCCTCCATGACTCCCATGGCAGTTTCACTAAGCTACATTTATAATGTGATACTGACCCTGTTTCCCAGGAGGCACCTACTTTTCATTCATTTATAGGTATATTGGATGTGTTAGGAATTTATTTAAGATAGTTTGTCTTTATATGTATAAGATATCCTGACTAATATTTTATTAGTGTATACTCATCTGTTCTTATACTAGGAATGATCACCTATTAAAATGGTTAATAGTTACCATTTTCTTTTTATATTTTTCAAGAGTTATATGAGGTAGCACATTTTTTTGTCTTCAAATATGATGTAATGGGCCTCCATTCTTGGGTGGATGTCCATAGTATATTTACATGGTGTTTTGTATTTGGACTAGACCTTCATTTTCTACTATACATTTGAACACTGTTGTTTCTTT